TTCAACCTTGAGCAACACCGTGCCGATTTCTGGATCGTATCCTCAAGCTGTTGATCTGCAGCCGACTTTTTGCATGTTTGTTTCTCCTCAGTAGTATGTTGTGTTTTCCTTGAATAGTCTGGATTTCAGTTGCTGAGCTGATGCTGTTCGAGTTCTGTGCGGCAGAGGCCGGGTGCTTGAATTTTCGACATGGCTGTCCAGATATGGCTGACCTTTGAACGACCTGTCGCAGTGTTGCATTTAACAGTAAATAAATGTGGCCCATAATACCTTGTTCGTCTATTGTCTTAGTGACAATGACTGTTTTGCTGTACAGCGGTTTTCTGTTTTCTTGAAAATTGTTTAGAAGTCATTTCGAGTGAGGGACCACCTGAAGCTTCCATCTTGAATTTCTCTTGTTCAAAGTCAGCTTTCTGCACAAATCCAACTATAAAATGGCAGATGAATACGAATTATATGTTCAGGAAAGCTTGCGTGACTCACGCTTATTTTGTATATGCAACGGTGTATATTGGATAAGTTATGAACTGCGAGCAGGTAGACTCAGGCCATATTTCTTTTAACAGTCTTCCTTCGATTTAACACCGAAGTAGGTGTGATAGGTGTAGTTTGGTGTAGTAAGTGTAGTTGGTGAATGCTGGTGTAGTAGGTGTAGTTTGGTATGGTTTCGTGTAGTAGATTTAATTACGCGTTGTTTGGTGTAGTAAGTGAAGTTTGATGTAGTAGGTACATATCGGTGTAGTTTGGTGTAATTCGGTTTAGTTTGTTGTAGTAGATGTAGTTTGCTGTAGAAAGTGTAGTTTGGTATAATAAGTTTCTTTTCGGGTGTAGTAGGTGTTTTTTGGTGTTGTGGGTGTTGTAAGTATAGTTTCGTGTATTTGGTTTAGTAGGTGTCGCAAAACCCTACTTAGTTGCGCCAAACTCTCCTCAGTTTTCGCCAAACACTCCTTTTTTGCGGCCAAACTTTCCTTAAATGGCAAAGAACACTGCTAACTTGTCGCAAAACCCTCCTTAATTATCGCCAAACTCTGCTCAGTTGTTACCAAACCCTTCTTAGGTGTCGCCAAACCCTCTTTACCTGTCGCCAAACTTTCCATAGTCATCGCCAAAACCTCCTCAGCTGCCGTAATTAGTTGTCGCAAAACACTCCTTAGTTGTCGCCAAACTCTTTTTAGTTGTTGCAATACACTCTTTAGTTGTGGCAAACCACTTCTTAGTTTTTGCAAAACCCTCCTTAGTTGCCACCAAATTCTTCTTAGTTGTCGCTAAACTCATTACACTCCCATCCCCCGACCGAGTAAATGTATATCATTTTTTATTTAAAAAATTTACCTTCGGAAGATAAATTTAAAGATTTACCTTCCAAATGCATATTACAGTAAACCAGAATTCCCTTCCCAGTGCCAGATGGATCCAGCCAGTATTTGTTGCTCGCGGTGTCTTTCCCTTCGTTTGCTTTTATCTCTTGACATGAACGTGCTGGTAACTCTGGAATCGAACCCAAGGGAACTGGTAAGGATAAAAATGTTGAAATTAAATATATGTAGGTGCACTAGTCGGAAGCCGAGAGTGAAAAACACGAGAGAATTAGAATGAGGATCTAATCCCATTCACTTAAATTTCCGCCTTTGAATGTGTTAAATTAAATGCTCTGTCAAGCACCCTTTTCTTGGAAAGTGGGCCCCCCACACTTTTAAACCCTTCCTTTAGCCACCAGCTTTTTTATCTTCTTTCAAGACCCTAAGCTTTTTGTATCATTTTAAAGAAGAAATTGAAAAAAATAATTTGTTGTCACTATTTCATACATGTATCAAAGCTGTTTTGCGAAGAAGTTAACTAAAAGTTGAATTGAATAAAGGGGGTAAGTTTCTAAAGAAAGTGTGGTGCTGCGTCGGTGGGAGAGTATAACAAGGTTATTTGGTGCTATCAACTGAGTTGATACGTCAAAGTGAATGGAAGAAATGTGGGTTTTGTGTTTATCTGCAGAGGATGGAGCTACGTTATTGGTGGGAAACGACAAATCAACTACAAAGAAAAGGGATAGAACTGATGTCGTTCATTATTAGAATTGAGAAATGGTAGAAAAATCGATACCGATGAGCAGGAGATCAGAAAACGCGGACTGTAAGCAAAGTGGAACGTATGACCAAAATATTGATAATTATTATCCAACATTATTGGCTGAATAGTTACCTCTTCCGCTCAAACGACGAATATAAAACCACGCTGGATCCGAGCGGAAATTCTCGGGCCTTGCGTCCTTTGTGCGGTTGTTCAACTCACAGATCTGTTCTTTTCTGTTGAAATTGTAGCTCTGGCATATAATTTCCCTTTCACATAAGAAATCACAGATATGAGGAGCTGCTACTGTCATTCTCTTGAAAACGAAACCTTTGAGAGCCATGCCATGAATATTAATTTCTATCCTGCATTGATCCCCAGCGGTTACAAGGTTGGTGAACGAAACACAGGCAAGAAAATAACGAAATATCCACAGCATTTTTCCTGAAAAACAAAATTCATAGATAGGTATTACAGAATCAATGAATTAACCTTTTTTCTCAAAGGCTGACTATGAACAGCAGATAATAAGAACAACTGTTCCCCCTCCCGCTCCCTTCTATAACTCTCTTTTTTTAAAGGCTGACTATGAACAGCAGATAATAAGAATAACTGTACCCCCCTCCCGCTCCCTTCTATAACTCTCTTTTTTTAAAGGCTGACTATGAACAGCAGATAATAAGAATAACTGTACCCCCCTCCCGCTCCCTTCTATAACTCTCTTTTTTTAAAGGCTGACTATGAACAGCAGATAATAAGAATAACTGTACCCCCCTCCCTTTTTTTAAAGCTCCCTTCTATAAATCTCTTTTTTTAAAGACTGACTATGAACAGCAGATAATAAGAATAACTGTACCCCCCCCCCCCTCCGCTCCCTTCTATAACTCTCTTTTTTTAAAGGCTGACTTTGATCAGCAGATAATAAGAATAACTGTACCCCCCCTCCCGCTCCCTTCTATAACTATCTTTTTTTCAAGGCTGACTATGAACAGCAGATAATAAGAATAACTGTACCCCCCCCCCTCCCGCTCCCTTCTATAACTCTCTTTTTTTAAAGACTGACTATGAACAGCAGATAATAAGAATAACTGTACCCCCCTCCCGCTCCCTTCTATAACTCTCTTTTTTTAAAGACTGACTATGAACAGCAGATAATAAGAATAACTGTACCCCCCTCCCGCTCCCTTCTATAACTCTCTTTTTTTAAAGGCTGACTATGAACAGCAGATAATAAGAACAACTGTTCCCCCCCCCCTCCCGCTCCCTTCTATAACTCTCTTTTTTTAAAGACTGACTATGAACAGCAGATAATAAGAATAACTGTACCCCCCTCCCGCTCCCTTCTATAACTCTCTTTTTTTAAAGGCTGACTATGAACAGCAGATAATAAGAACAACTGTTCCCCCCTCCCGCTCCCTTCTATAACTCTCTTTTTTTAAAGTCTGACTATGAACAGCAGATAATAAGAATAACTGTACCCCCCTCCCGCTCCCTTCTATAACTCTCTTTTTTTTTATGCTGACTATGAACAGCATTTAATAAGAACAACGGGCCCCCCCCCCCTCCCGCTCCCTTCTATAACTCTCTTTTTTTAAAGGCTGACTATGAACAGCAGATAATAAGAACAACTGTACCCCCCCCCCGCTCCCTTCTATAACTCTCTTTTTTTAAAGGCTGACTATGAACAGCAGATAATAAGAATAACTGTACCCCCCCCCTCCCGCTCCCTTCTATAACTCTCTTTTTTTAAAGGCTGACTATGAACAGCAGATAATAAGAACAACTGTACCCCCCCCCTCCCGCTCCCTTCTATAACTCTCTTTTTTTAAAGACTGACTATGAACAGCAGATAATAAGAATAACTGTACCCCCCCCCTCCCGCTCCCTTCTATAACTCTCTTTTTTTAAAGGCTGACTATGAACAGCAGATAATAAGAACAACTGTACCCCCCTCCCGCTCCCTTCTATAACTCTCTTTTTTTAAAGACTGACTATGAACAGCAGATAATAAGAATAACTGTACCCCCCTCCCGCTCCCTTCTATAACTCTCTTTTTTTAAAGGCTGACTATGAACAGCAGATAATAAGAATAACTGTACCCCCCTCCCGCTCCCTTCTATTACTCTCTTTTTTTAAAGGCTGACTATGAACAGCAGATAATAAGAATAACTGTACCCCCCTCCCGCTCCCTTCTATAACTCTCTTTTTTTAAAGGCTGACTATGAACAGCAGATAATAAGAATAACTGTACCCCCCCCCTCCCGCTCCCTTCTATAACTCTCTTTTTTTAAAGGCTGACTATGAACAGCAGATAATAAGAATAACTGTACCCCCCTCCCGCTCCCTTCTATAACTCTCTTTTTTTAAAGGCTGACTATGAACAGCAGATAATAAGAATAACTGTACCCCCCCCTCCCGCTCCCTTCTCGAACTCTCTTTTTTTAAAGGCTGACTATGAACAGCAGATAATAAGAATAACTGTACCCCCCTCCCGCTCCCTTCTATAACTCTCTTTTTTTAAAGGCTGACTTTGAACAGCAGATAATAAGAACAACTGTTCCCCCCCCCGCTCCCTTCTATAACTCTCTTTTTTTAAAGGCTGACTATGAACAGCAGATAATAAGAATAACTGTACCCCCCTCCCGCTCCCTTCTATAACTCTCTTTTTTTAAAGGCTGACTATGAACAGCAGATAATAAGAATAACTGTACCCCCCTCCCGCTCCCTTCTATAACTCTCTTTTTTTAAAGGCTGACTATGAACAGCAGATAATAAGAACAACTGTACCCCCCTACCGCTCCCTTCTATAACTCTCTTTTTTTAAAGGCTGACTATGAACAGCAGATAATAAGAATAACTGTACCCCCCCCCCTCCCGCTCCCTTCTATAACTCTCTTTTTTTAAAGGCTGACTATGAACAGCAGATAATAAGAATAACTGTACCCCCCCCTCCCGCTCCCTTCTATAACTCTCTTTTTTTAAAGGCTGACTATGAACAGCAGATAATAAGAATAACTGTACCCCCCTCCCGCTCCCTTCTATAACTCTCTTTTTTTAAAGGCTGACTATGAACAGCAGATAATAAGAATAACTGTACCCCCCTCCCGCTCCCTTCTATAACTCTCTTTTTTTAAAGGCTGACTATGAACAGCAGATAATAAGAATAACTGTACCCCCCTCCCGCTCCCTTCTATAACTCTCTTTTTTTAAAGGCTGACTATGAACAGCAGATAATAAGAACAACTGTACCCCCCCTCCCGCTCCATTCTATAACTCTCTTTTTTTAAAGACTGACTATGAACAGCAGATAATAAGAATAACTGTACCCCCCCTCCCGCTCCCTTCTATAACTCTCTTTTTTTAAAGACTGACTATGAACAGCAGATAATAAGAATAACTGTACCCCCCTCCCGCTCCCTTCTATAACTCTCTTTTTTTAAAGGCTGACTATGAACAGCAGATAATAAGAATAACTGTACCCCCCCCTCCCGCTCCCTTCTATAACTCTCTTTTTTTAAAGGCTGACTATGAACAGCAGATAATAAGAACAACTGTTCCCCCCCCCCTCCCGCTCCCTTCTATAACTCTCTTTTTTTAAAGGCTGACTATGAACAGCAGATAATAAGAACAACTGTACCCCCCCCCTCCCGCTCCCTTCTATAACTCTCTTTTTTTAAAGGCTGACTATGAACAGCAGATAATAAGAATAACTGTACCCCCCTCCCGCTCCCTTCTATAACTCTCTTTTTTTAAAGGCTGACTATGAACAGCAGATAATAAGAACAACTGTACCCCCCCCCCCTCCCGCTCCCTTCTATAACTCTCTTTTTTTAAAGGCTGACTATGAACAGCAGATAATAAGAATAACTGTACCCCCCTCCCGCTCCCTTCTATAACTCTCTCTTTTTTTAAAGACATTTCCCCAAAAAAGGAAAACATTCAGCCTTCAAAATAAATTATGATGAGAGTGACTGTAGGAGAAATTCTTTGATTTTACCGATGGTTCTCCGACAATTCATTTTTACCGCTGTCTTTTTGCAGCAAAATTTGTTGCGCTTTTGTTGAGGGAAGCAGTGAACAACGAAATAAGAGCCAAATGGAAAATGTTTCTGTCAATCCTTTATTCTATAGCCTTTAATTCATCCTAATAAAACGCAACTCAATGGATAACTTTATCTCTCGTTCAGCACTAGAAGATGATTTGCTCGAGAAATGAGAGAGTTTTCGAAACAAAGTTAAACCTTATTTAAGGAATCCGTTTTGAGTGAGATGTTGTCTTTTGTATGAACTGGAAGTGTTACCGTATTGGCTTCTGTGTGATTAATTTGAGGGACGATCTGGGTTAGTTCTGAATATCCACAAGGTTTCAAATGTTTCCAAAATGTCTATCTTATCGTCTAATTTTTTGGGGGGATTTCGAAAACGATTTACACGAGAATTAACACACACAAAAAAAGCAAACTTGTGGATAGCTACATACTAAATTACGAGTCTGTTTTCGAGTTAGTAAATGAAGTCTTTTGGTTTGCAATGGCATTTCTTCAAGATAGAGAATTGCATGAGTATTGAGTATTAAATCTCGATCTCGGTGCTAAATTTTCTTTTCGCAGATGATTTTACCAGAGGCGGTGTCGTTGGTACGGATATCGGCCTGAACTGCAAAATGAGAGAACCTCTAGGCAAGGTACATCTAGTCTACTCCGACACGATAAAATGTTTTGCATGGTGATAGATGGAACTGTGAAAACATGATAACTGGTAAAAATATGTCGCATGAAGCAGTTTTGAAAATAGTGGTCAAAGATATTATCGTCTCTGATTGCATTCGATTCCTCGGTAAACTTGTAGTTGTCAGGGAAAATTACCTGTTAGATTATACCTAAAGACGATGCTATCTATGTCAGTCTTGTAAATTCTTATTTATCTACAGGTGCATTAAGATAAGACGAAGTGACGTGACGTTTCAGATTGGCGCCTATTTTTGAGACAAATAATTTTAAATACTTTTTAAAACTAAAAGGAGACTTTTCAGTGAACTTCATAGCCTCATCCAAACACCAGGGAGAATTTCGAAAGTTAAGCAACCCCGAGAGATATTCGAAGGTTTGTATAACAGGCTCCACGAATACCTCCAACTTCCTTCGTGTTTATATGAACTTAATATCAATCTTTTACAGTTCGAAGAAATAGAGCTACTTTCCCCCTTTTTTTTACCTTTTAAACCCCAGCTGAAAGTCAATGTTCTTATTCATTAGACTTTGTGTTGATACTTTCAAGGCTTTTATTGCGTTTTTGCAATGCAGTACTTTGAATTGTTGTTTCTTTTTTAACTTTCTTCATCCAAAATTTTAAGGACTAAAAACACGAGTGAAAATATTTTTGTCCTTAGCTTCTAAGACTAAATTTCATTTTCTTTGCTACGAATTGATCGCGCTACCC